GAAATAGCATCAGAAACATATTACATAAAGTCATTACATTGTCAACAGAATTCTCATCCATACACAATCTTGTTTTGTTTATAGCTATTCAAATGAGAAATCAGAAACCCGAATATCCGAGTCAGCATCAGAAGCAACATCATCCACTTCAAACCAAAATTCTAAGGTAAGTAGACCGTGTTCTTCTACTGGTCTGTTTTAAGGTTTCAGGGTAAGGCTCGTCGTGATCCTTCCACTAGGACATATATTTACATGCCTATGATTCTATTTTGCTGAGCAAGATATGGTAAATCGTTCTTTCAAATAGAGATAAGAAAACAAACCATATACTATATACCTTGTCTTAGTCTAATGTTCTAATAAAAAAATCATTCATCAATGTTTTACTTCACATACTAAGCTAATACCCTTTTTTTCTGTTTCTATTGTCTTTTTTTTTGTTGTGTACTGCCAGGAATAAATGAATTGAAAAGTGAGGAAAACTATTTAGGCTTCATGGCAATTACAAAGTGAACCTCGAAATATTCGAAGAATGTATCAGTTGAAGGTCCAATTGAGCGACCTGAGGTTGTGATCTACTCGCTGCCCATACAGGATATACACTTACACAGCTCGTGTTGATTGCTTCTAGCTATGATCAGAGCTTTTTAGGTTGCAGTTATCAGAATAAATGCATAGATGATTGTATATATAATAGGATAATACATTCAGAACAAAAGCTATGTTCCTTTCTTTGAAGTGTATCATACATCCATACTTCTGCATAAAACAAATTCGTCTCATGTACTGTGTTGGAAACATTGTCTTTGGAATTTCATTTGCTCCTGTATTTTATAAGAAAAAACGGATATAATATCTTGGGAGTATTAAATGCATTCTATATTTATCATTTAAAAGAAGACTAATGTAGGGTTTAGATTAGAAAAGTGTTCTTTACCAGTATCATGATATGTAAGTGTGGCAATCCTATTGATCATACAAATATTGATTTAGTATTTGTGTTTCACAAGTAGTTCATCTGTCTCCCCTTAATAAAGATTGCGGCTTTCGACAAACAAATAAATAAATAATTATTGTGAGAATATCATAGGATGATGAAATTTTTTTAGCTAACTAAATACTACTTCTATTTCCTAAGAAAATAAAAATACAAATAGTTTTTCTACTCATCTAAATAAAAAAATGTTTTAAACGCACTTTTATTTGTTATACTTCTACATAAATATAATTTTAATCTTTAAAATTTTATTTGCAAATTTGGCTATTCAAAATTTTAAAATCAAGGAATTTTAATCTACGGTTTATATATCTTTTAATTCCTCACACGAGTTAGCATGGTATTAATTACTTCTTAAATTACACGAACATCCTAAGATCGTGAAATTTTGAAAAAAATAACTCTATGATTAAAATTTTACAAAACCTAAAATTACTCATTTGAAAAATTATAGGGATTTTACGTTTAAAGAAAAAAAAATATTATTAAAAATATATCATTTTCATTTTATTGTTCTTCACCTGTGTTTTCTTTTTTTTCTTTTTCTTTCCATTTTCTCAATCTTAATTTTATTCATAATCCAGACGAAAACATAAACCGAAAACATAGGACGATTGAGGCGTGTTGGGTAATTTTCTTTTATTGGTGGCACCCTTAGGCGTAGCTTTTGGGTCATTCAGTAGTAGCCGCGGCTCGCATAGGTGAGAATCATAATTCACCACTCTCTGTTCTGCAATGGCCAAGATCGAAGAACTGAACGAGTCCGTGGCTAAATCAAGAACCAAGAGGAATCACGTCTCAACCAGATTCTTCGTCTTTGTTGATTACCTTTTCATTTTGATCTTCCTTGGATTCCTCTGCTTCATCATTTTCAAGATTCTCGGCATTTGATTCGATTCTATTCCCAATCCCCCGTGCTTTCTGAGCTAGGTACGTACCGTTTCATGCACACCCACTTCGTTTATTCTCCAATCCCGCTCATAAAGATTTGATTTTTATTTCCATGCGCTCTTTGCTAATGAGATGCTTCTTCAACCAATTATCTTTTTTATTTATTTTTTCATTTATTAAACAAGTATTGAAGAGATGGGGAAGAGTGTTTTAGAAGTACAAGTATTGAATGTCCTTGTTTTGTGTGGAAAGATGAAGCTATTGCCTATTATTAGATATCAAAAGTAAAAGTCGAAGATTTTGGGCAAACCCATAAATTTTCTCTTAAAGTTTTCTTTCTATATATACTTTTAGTTTTCTTGCCAATTTCTTCTAAAGCTAATTAAAGTGACATTCTCTTAGTTTCTTGAGATTGCATACGATATTTTACCATTTACACTGATTTTCCAACTGGGATTCTTGTGTTACAAATTCAGTCTTAAGAAATAAAAATAGATGTCGATGTAATTTGTTATTTTTTTTTTCTAACATTGTTACTCAATTTTGGTGTAAGAGTTTGTATCTAGGTGTGCATACCATGCTAGTACTTGTACTTTATGCTTCCAACACAAACTCGCGTTTGAAAAATGATTCGTCGAGCTTCCAAGTTTATCAGAAGGGATAGAGATAAAAGAAGAATAATTATAATAAGTGATATGATATGATATAAATATATAAAGTTAAAGAGAATAGGAATGTTGATAACTGTTTAGATTTTAGACTAAGTTTTCCCGAGTCATTCCTTATCACGTTATCTTGAACATAAATAACGACTTGGATTATTTTCTCCTCTCTGTCATATTTAACACTTCTCACTCTTTTACTACTGTACTCTATCTTCACCTGCACTTCTTTTGGCAGGATATTTGTGTGACATAGTTATGATTCCATTACAGACCTAGGTACAAGCTTGAAGGCAGGGTCAACTAGCAAGTACAATTTTTTTCTCAGATCTTATGTTGTAATACTTGAATTTTCTCAGATCCAGTTTTCCTCTAAAAAATTTACACTGTTCATTTTCCCTAGCTATTGTCTTCCATTTGTTTCTTGTTTATTACATTTATCTTTTCATATATGATTTCCACTTTCACTTCCTTTTTCCTTGAATGTGGTAAGAAGGATGACAACTAAGATCAATATCAAAGTACACTGCATTAAAAGCTGATAGTGATGGCAGAGTAATTTCCCTTTTCTTTGCCAACTATTTATTACATTTTCTGAGGGGGACCTGGGGATATAGACTACGTGACTATGTGTTATTATTATCCACTTTCTGTTTGTGGTTGGTGGATTTGGATGAGGTAGAGCAGCAGAGTGAAGACCCCAAACTGCCATTTTGCATGCGACACACTTACCAGTGATTTGGTGTGGACGCTTGCAAATTGATGATACACCAACTTTGCATTTATGTGAGGCATTTTTATCCTTGTTGTTATGTCCTATTATAAAATCGAGATGTTTTAAAAACATAAAACATATATTTGCTGGGGGGGAAAATGATGAATCTTGCCATTTTCAAGCGATTAACAGAAGAGGATTTTTCTTTGGTCTGAGTTTCATGCATTGGGAGATCAAACATGACCTTGTTGCATTTAGAAAAATTTAACATGATATAGGTGGTTAGAAAGATTCATGTTAGGCATATGGACTAGTTTTATCTTGTCCGTACAGAGCTTAACACAATTGATTTCTTTGTTTGAGGTTTGGGATTTGCTATGATTACATTTAAATGAGATGAAGTTAATGAAACAATCGAGAGTTATGTGTAATTTGTGAAGCATCTACCATGTTCAAAGAGAAGTTTTATTGTATTCTTTTTTGAAGTAATGAATGTTGGACTTTTAACGGAAAAGAGAAAAAGTTGAAACTGGCAAAATAAAATGCACATGCTAAGATGAATGTGTGATGATACAAGAAATTATACGATACAACATAATTTGTATTCAATGAGATATTGATGTTGAGATGATGTTAACAAAGATTAGAAAATAAGTAAAAGTAGTTTAGATATATGCAAAGAAAGCTGCTAAAAGTATTTTTTGAGAAGAGTAGATTGTATGATTTTTATCCCTGTAAAAGTAAGTGGGATCATGAAAATATCAGAGGAAGCTGAAAAGAGAATAACTAGTTTTGGTCTCTAATTAAACATTATGATATCATAGAATTTGTGTAGTTAGTATAACTAATAAAAACAAGGTTGACAGTGACATTTTATACATGGATGCATACTGTGAAATAGCATCAGAAACATATTACATAAAGTCATTACATTGTCAACAGAATTCTCATCCATACACAATCTTGTTTTGTTTATAGCTATTCAAATGAGAAATCAGAAACCCGAATATCCGAGTCAGCATCAGAAGCAACATCATCCACTTCAAACCAAAATTCTAAGGTAAGTAGACCGTGTTCTTCTACTGGTCTGTTTTAAGGTTTCAGGGTAAGGCTCGTCGTGACCCTTCCACTAGGACATATATTTACATGCCTATGATTCTATTTTGCTGAGCAAGATATGGTAAATCGTTCTTTCAAATAGAGATAAGAAAACAAACCATATACTATATACCTTGTCTTAGTCTAATGTTCTAATAAAAAAATCATTCATCAATGTTTTACTTCACATACTAAGCTAATACCCTTTTTTTCTGTTTCTATTGTCTTTTTTTTTGTTGTGTACTGCCAGGAATAAATGAATTGAAAAGTGAGGAAAACTATTTAGGCTTCATGGCAATTACAAAGTGAACCTCGAAATATTCGAAGAATGTATCAGTTGAAGGTCCAATTGAGCGACCTGAGGTTGTGATCTACTCGCTGCCCATACAGGATATACACTTACACAGCTCGTGTTGATTGCTTCTAGCTATGATCAGAGCTTTTTAGGTTGCAGTTATCAGAATAAATGCATAGATGATTGTATATATAATAGGATAATACATTCAGAACAAAAGCTATGTTCCTTTCTTTGAAGTGTATCATACATCCATACTTCTGCATAAAACAAATTCGTCTCATGTACTGTGTTGGAAACATTGTCTTTGGAATTTCATTTGCTCCTGTATTTTATAAGAAAAAACGGATATAATATCTTGGGAGTATCAAATGCATTCTATATTTATCATTTAAAAGAAGACTAATGTAGGGTTTAGATTAGAAAAGTGTTCTTTACCAGTATCATGAAATGTAAGTGTGGCAATCCTATTGATCATACAAATATTGATTTAGTATTTGTGTTTCACAAGTAGTTCATCTGTCTCCCCTTAATAAAGATTGCGGCTTTCGACAAACAAATAAATAAATAATTATTGTGAGAATATTATAGGATGATGAAATTTTTTTAGCTAACTAAATACTACTTCTATTTCCTAAGAAAATAAAAATACAAATATTTTTTCTACTCATCTAAATAAAAAAATGTTTTAAACGCACTTTTATTTGTTATACTTCTACATAATATAATTTTAATCTTTAAAATTTTATTTGCAAATTTGGCTATTCAAAATTTTAAAATCAAGGAATTTTAATCTACGGTTTATATATCTTTTAATTCCTCACACGAGTTAGCATGGTATTAATTACTTCTTAAATTACACGAACATCCTAAGATCGTGAAATTTTGAAAAAAATAACTCTATGATTAAAATTTTACAAAACCTAAAATTACTCATTTGAAAAATTATAGGGATTTTACGTTTAAAGAAAAAAAAATATTATTAAAAATATATCATTTTCATTTTATTGTTCTTCACCTGTGTTTTCTTTTTTTTCTTTTTCTTTCCATTTTCTCAATCTTAATTTTATTCATAATCCAGACGAAAACATAAACCGAAAACATAGGACGATTGAGGCGTGTTGGGTAATTTTCTTTTATTGGTGGCACCCTTAGGCGTAGCTTTTGGGTCATTCAGTAGTAGCCGCGGCTCGCATAGGTGAGAATCATAATTCACCACTCTCTGTTCTGCAATGGCCAAGATCGAAGAACTGAACGAGTCCGTGGCTAAATCAAGAACCAAGAGGAATCACGTCTCAACCAGATTCTTCGTCTTTGTTGATTACCTTTTCATTTTGATCTTCCTTGGATTCCTCTGCTTCATCATTTTCAAGATTCTCGGCATTTGATTCGATTCTATTCCCAATCCCCCGTGCTTTCTGAGCTAGGTACGTACCGTTTCATGCACACCCACTTCGTTTATTCTCCAATCCCGCTCATAAAGATTTGATTTTTATTTCCATGCGCTCTTTGCTAATGAGATGCTTCTTCAACCAATTATCTTTTTTATTTATTTTTTCATTTATTAAACAAGTATTGAAGAGATGGGGAAGAGTGTTTTAGAAGTACAAGTATTGAATGTCCTTGTTTTGTGTGGAAAGATGAAGCTATTGCCTATTATTAGATATCAAAAGTAAAAGTCGAAGATTTTGGGCAAACTCATAAATTTTCTCTTAAAGTTTTCTTTCTATATATACTTTTAGTTTTCTTGCCAATTTCTTCTAAAGCTAATTAAAGTGACATTCTCTTAGTTTCTTGAGATTGCATACGATATTTTACCATTTACACTTATTTTCCAACTGGGATTCTTGTGTTACAAATTCAGTCTTAAGAAATAAAAATAGATGTCGATGTAATTTGTTATTTTTTTTTCTAACATTGTTACTCAATTTTGGTGTAAGAGTTTGTATCTAGGTGTGCAAACCATGCTAGTACTTGTACTTTATGCTTCCAACACAAACACGCGTTTGAAAAATGATTTGTCGATCTTCCAAGTTTATCAGAAGGGATAGAGATAAAAGAAGAATAATTATAATAAGTGATATGATATGATATAAATATATAAAGTTAAAGAGAATAGGAATGTTGATAACTGTTTAGATTTTAGACTAAGAGTTTTCCCGAGTCATTCCTTATCACGTTATCTTGATCATAAATAACGACTTGGATTATTTTCTCCTCTCTGTCATATTTAACACTTCTCACTCTTTTACTACTGTACTCTATCTTCACCTGCACTTCTTTTGGCAGGATATTCGTGTGACATAGTTATGATTCCATTACAGACCTAGGTACAAGCTTGAAGGCAGGGTCAACTAGCAAGTACAATTTTTTTCTCAGATCTTATGTTGTAATACTTGAATTTTCTCAGATCCAGTTTTCCTCTAAAAAATTTACACTGTTCATTTTCCCTAGCTATTGTCTTCCATTTGTTTCTTGTTTATTACATTTATCTTTTCATATATGATTTCCACTTTCACTTCCTTTTTCCTTGAATGTGGTAAGAAGGATGACAACTAAGATCAATATCAAAGTACACTGCATTAAAAGCTGATAGTGATGGCAGAGTAATTTCCCTTTTCTTTGCCAACTATTTATTACATTTTCTGAGGGGGACCTGGGGATATAGACTACGTGACTATGTGTTATTATTATCCACTTTCTGTTTTTGGTTGGTGGATTTGGATGAGGTAGAGCAGCAGAGTGAAGACCCCAAACTGCCATTTTGCATGCGACACACTTACCAGTGATTTGGTGTGGACGCTTGCAAATTGATGATACACCAACTTTGCATTTATGTGAGGCATTTTTATCCTTGTTGTTATGTCCTATTATAAAATCGAGATGTTTTAAAAACATAAAACATATATTTGCTGGGGGGGAAAATGATGAATCTTGCCATTTTCAAGCGATTAACAGAAGAGGATTTTTCTTTGGTCTGAGTTTCATGCATTGGGAGATCAAACATGACCTTGTTGCATTTAGAAAAATTTAACATGATATAGGTGGTTAGAAAGATTCATGTTAGGCATATGGACTAGTTTTATCTTGTCCGTACAGAGCTTAACACAATTGATTTCTTTGTTTGAGGTTTGGGATTTGCTATGATTACATTTAAATGAGATGAAGTTAATGAAAATTGACACAGGATATAAAACAATCGAGAGTTATGTGTAATTTGTGAAGCATCTACCATGTTCAAAGAGAAGTTTTATTGTATTCTTTTTTGAAGTAATGAATGTTGGACTTTTAA